TACCCACCTATAATGGGCTTAGATTTGGGGTTTCTTGGTTCTACCTAAACCCTAAACCCTAAACCCTAAACCCTATACGGTTCAGTTTGGGGCTTTGGGGCCTCTTGGTTCTACAAAGGTTCCTTAGACGGGCTCATGAAAGGCTCCTGACAGGGTCTGCAAGAGTTCTAAAGCAGAGAAACCCTAAACCCTAAACCCAAACCCTGACCCCCCTGAAATGTAAGAGTTCTGAAGCAGAGGTCTTGAAGGGGTTTACGAGGTTTAAAAGAGATTGGTGCTTGAAAACTCTAGGGCTCAGGCTTGGAACGCTGAGGCTTGGTCTTCGGGCGTTTATCATCGATTTAGGCTTAGGGTTTAGGATTCAGGGTTTTGGGTTTTGGGTTTAGGTTTGTGAGTCCAGGAGAAAATCCCTCGGAATTCCATACAGAAGGCGTCCAAACAAATCTCGAACTGAGACGGCTCCCTGTGCGGCATGCTGGTCCTCAGAAGATGCCATCGCCTAAACCCTAGATCGACCGGTGATTGAACATGGCAACTCTTCAACTCGCAATCCCAATCAACCCTAATCCCTAAACCCTAAACCCTATAAACCCTAAACCCGTAAACCCCCCAACCCTAAACCCCTAAACCCTCAACCCTAAACCCTAAACCCTATGAAAGGGTACAACACCTGAAGCTACAAAGTCTTCAGGCTGGCTGAATTGCGTGGAATACATAGACACCATGGCTCCAGTGTCCCGTAATTTGTGAGGGGCCTTTTGTAAGGATTCCTAGAAGCAACTTAAGGAATATTCCTGAGTCGAAGGATATTGCCGTTTTATCCCTAACCCTCCAGGTACCTACTATAGAGGGAACTAGAGCCCTGAGGGCCCTATATAGTACCTGGAGGGTTAGGGTATGGCTTTGGGAAACCACGGAAAGTAGCCAAAAGCCCCTCGGAATCCGGCGGCGCAGGCTCGGTCGTATTCCGGACCCACCTTGCTCGAGCAGCGACGTGCTGAATCTGTGGCTTTTGGTCTTGCTGCTTGCAGGTGCTACTATTGCTACACTGCTCATGGTGCCACTATTGCTACCTTCCCTCATGGTACTGCTGCTACTGCTGCTGCTACGACGACGACGACGACGACGACGACGACGACGACTACAACACTATCGTTTTTCTGCTCCTCCTGCCCCCTCCTCATGCTCCCGCTATTTCTACTGCGACTGCTACTGCTACTGCGGTCGTGACGATGACCAATATTACTCATTATTACTGGTTGCCTGTATTACGGTACGCCATTTTCTGAAACTCCCATATCTGGGACCGGTTTTGCTCAGTCGCAGTTCCGAGCTCATGAGCATCGACCCCTAAACCCACCCCGAAATTCGTTGAAACGGAACCCTTCGAGTCCCGGACCCTGCTCTCAAGGTCTGTACTCTTTACACGGTCGAATATTATAGGGGCCTGAGTAATTACCAATACTCTTTTGGGGGTTCCGTATTATGACTATAGCATAATTTACCCCAAAACCTGTTCTAATCATAAGGCCCCTACATTGATCTTCTAGCCCTGCCATCCGATTTGGGTTTGCAAAGGACGAGCTGAGTAAATTGTAAGGTGCATGATACCGTGAGTGTCTGTAAAGTGCAGCGGCTTCAGCCCTAAACCGTCCCCTCCCCTCCCCCCCAAACCTTAAGGAAGAGCCGCCCCTTACCCCTAAACCCGAAGCCCTAAACCCTGAACCCTAAACCCTAAACCCTAAACCCTAAACCCTAAACCCTAAACCCTAAACCCTGAACCGTAAATCCTGAACCCCTAAGTCGCCAAACCCTAGACCCTAAACCTTCAACCCCAGCACCCTCGACGCTAAACCCCAAACATCCCAAACCCTACCTTAGGGTTTAGGGTTGAGGGTTTAGGGTACCATGATTTTTCGTAATTTCCCGAAAGCAAATCTGCACCTGCGCGAGCTTCTCGAGCTTCTTGATGAGCGCTCTACCTGAAGGTAGGGTTCAGGGCCTAGGGTTCCCAGTAGCCCCTTGATAATAAGGGCACCCTTTTCCCTACCTATTTAGTTTTAATCAGGGAAACCGAAAAGAAAAAGGTTTGGGGTTCAGGGTTCAGGCCGTGGGTTGAGGGTTCAGAACACTCACATCACTCAGAATGGCATAGTCTCTAGAGACGTAGACATTATTTCACATGTATCGCAAGCATGAGGGGTGGCTTCACTCTCCGGCTAGGAATGTTTAGGGCGTACTCTTGCGTTTGAGCACATCGCTTCGGGCTGCGACAATCCAGGCACGGTAACGCATCCCAACTGAGATGGTTTCGACTTTCATGGTATTTTGATCAGTAGCCGTCAAACACTAACTCTGCTGTTTGCTATCAGCTACATATCCGTAACCCGGACAAGTTAGAGCGGCTTGTTGGGAGGGCCAGGGGACTGGCAAAGTAGTTGACATTGGTTCAGGGGTTCATCCGAAATCATATGGCAGCTCCGACCCTACCTAAGGCTTCGGGATTCAACAGTGCCTTCCCGCGCAACATACAGTGGACTATGCGCACGCCTGCCCTACGAGGTTTAAGGTGCAGGTTTTGGGCGGGGGGGGGGGGGCGGGGGTTTAACACTTTGGGGTTTAGGAATGAAGAGCTGCCTCACGATTTAAGATTTATCGGGCTTGACTTCATGCGGCTTTTGGAGGCTTGAGCTACGACCTCATAGATGCCGAGTTCATAAACCCCAATATATCTCTAAATTTCAGCTTTAGGTTGGACTAGATGATACAAAGAATAAACGAAACATCCAAAAGTATACTCAGTCAGCTACTAAGAACTCGCATGGAAGAAGGCTTAAGTTCAGGGCTGTGAGCTTCCCTCTGTCTGGAAGACGGCATGAGAAGGCTTAACAACATGATGTTTAGTATAGTCCGGAGCTGCTGAGCTGCTGAGCGATTAGGACTGCCGAGCCGATAACACATAAAATGTTTAACTAACCATTACCCTAGGACCTTGAGCGTTTGAATAAAATGGATTGAACGGGTTGTACCCCTGGCTGTTGAATCCCAACCCAGAAGATCTCAACCCAACGATGAAATTGGAAACGGACAATCCCGAAGATGAAAGAGCTAGGGGTCTAGCGTTAAGGACCCTGAAAAGCAAAATCCCACCAAGCAAATTCAACGAGGCCCCTGGCTAGCTTTGTCGACGTCCGCGATCTGAGCAAGATGACAGGGTTAGGGTGCAAAGCTTGGCTTCCTTTACGGGACGAGATGCCCGTAGCCCAAGTACTCAAGCGTAAGCCCCAAATGGCCCTAAACCCTCAAGATCTAAGCCCTGACCCCCAAAAGATTGTGAAGCTTCGCCGGTGATTCCCTGCAGTAATTTACTGAGGTTTAGCGCCCGGCGCAACCCAGCCCCCTACATGAATTTCTCCCGACACCTCCAGTGACTCGAACTCCAACCCCTGTCTCCTCCAAACCACCGTCGCAACCCTAAACCCTAAACCCAGAGAGAACATGTGCCGATCTTGTGAAAACCTTCGGGCTTGGCTTCATATCTATGTGGGAACCTTACGGCCAAATTCTCCACTGCTTGGATGCCGCAGTTAATATAGGGGCCCTAATAATTAGAATAGGGTTTTGGGCTATACTATACTATAACTATAGTAAGGAACCCCCTAAAATAGTATGGGTAATTATTTAGGCTTCTATATTACAGGGAACCACCTGAACCCCCTCTCTGATCCGTCCTTAAGGGGAGGCCGGGACCCGAACTACCCCGACACCCAATCCCGGATCAGCCAACAACAGCGAATCTACCCGAAAGGAAAAGAACAGTAAGACAAGACACAACACTTCCATTTTGGGGCTTTGGGTTCAGGGTTTGGGGTTTAGAGGTTTAGCTTAGGGTAAACTACTAAAATACATCTTGAGCCGCTTTAAAGGCTCTCACTGAACCTTGCATAGTAGATCCATCCCTACAAACCCCAACCCTGGGCGAGTCCGGGATTAAACCATTGTGGCATCCAACAACGGACTTCTGCCAAAAATGCCCTGAACCTCCAAGGGTAGGCAACAAAAAGGGGGGCCAACACCCGTAAATGGTCTTGCTGCATATTTTGGGGGACCAGGCAACACCCTCAACCCTAGCCCTAAACTGTGAGTCGTGTAGGGCTTAGTGCTTTGTCGGTGTAGTGGGCTTCTGAAAAGCTGACCCTGACGACCAGGGAGTTTCCAAACCTACGATTGCTGGGTGGCTTTAGGTTTTAGGGTTTAGGATCTATAGGGCGTAGGGTTGAACACTTTATCGATGGTGAAAGTTTTAGATTATATAAACCACAAAGGACAGAACAAGAAACAACATCTCAATCAAGTACCTAGCGTAGGACCATCGTTTGTTGAGAAACCCTTCAAAAGAGTTTCGCCTACTGCCAAGAAACTGCACCGTTTCCAATGTCCACAGCTCGACTTTGTCGACTGCCCAAGTGACCAGAGATTGAAAGATAAACCTAAACCCTAAACCCTGAGCCCTAAACCCTAAACCCTCAAGCCTAAAATCCCTAAACCTGCGAAGAGAGGCCAGAACAGCCACCATAAACCCTACACCCGGAGGTTGGGGGTTCAGGACTTGGGTGCTAAAACTTAAACCGTGGAAGCCCTAGGGTTCAGGGGCTTGTTTGGGGCCGGAAGGCCCAATCCTGTTTCAGAAAACCAAAGCAAATTAGTTTAGGGTTTAAATGCCTTTAGAACTTCCTCGAGAAATTCTAGAAAGTCCCTTAGAATCACCGAAACCTCTCAGCTCCCCACCGCCGCATCCGAGTACAGCTGCGCGGACTCGACACCCAGAAGAGTCGCGGCTCCTTGCTTGTGTTTGAGAGGGGTGGGGGTAGCGGTGTGGGCTGTTTGTGGCTCTGTGTGTTTGGAGCTTTCGATGTTCAGATTCTTCAAGGGTTTGGAGCTTAGTCGCAGTGGTTTTCTCATATATGCTCATAGTTTTGAGGGCGGTGGCTAGAGCTTCATGGCTTTGGGGTATTGGTAGGGGGTTTTGGAGGTTCGGGATTTTGGGCGTCAGGAGATGTGGGCGGGAGTGATCTGCAATCTGGGTTATCGCGTTAGCGTATAGGATTTAGGGCATTGCTTTTAGTGCGGATGGTTCAGGGTTTTTTTTGTTGCGGGGTTTAGTGTGCGGTGCTTGTGGTTTCGAAGTGTGGATAGAGCCCCAGGAACCGCAGGGTTGAGTTTGGGGTTGTAGTGTTCAAGTTTGAAGATGTGCGGGCTTTTGTGAGGGTTTGTGTGTATCCGACCCGAGACCCCAAACCCCCAAACCCTTAATAAAGCCTCAACCCTACACCCTCAGCCCTAAACCCTAAGCCCCAAACCCTAAACCCTAAACCCTCAACCATAAACCCTAAGCCCCAAACCCTAAACCTAAACACTTCGGGGAGGGCCTCAAGGCTGTAAGGATCGGAATGCGTCTTGCTTGATAGGCCAAAAAACAGGCCTAAAAAACCACGAAGACGATTCCTGACGGTTTCCGACTATCCTTATACAATATAGCTTAAGGCCTCTGTATGTATTTGCATACACACACACACATATATATATATATATTAATTATATATATATATATATATATATAGTTTACACATATATATATATATATACATATATAGATTTAGGAAGTTAAGGCCATACGTAAGCCCCAGCTTCGGCTCAACCGAAGCAAAAGCACAAAGATACCAATGGGCAAACTGGAGAAACTTCAGGGTTTAGGGGTTTAGGGTTTAGGGGTTTAGGATTTAGGGTTTAGGGTTTAGGTTGAACCACCTAAACCAAAACCCTGAAAGAAAACCAATGTAAGACACCCTAAATGCCGCCTACCCCCGTGAACCAGTTTCAGACTCCGTGTTGAGATGGGCTTCTGCCCCTGTTGGCTTCGGGTTTTGGCAAATCAAACCCTGAAATGTCAACCAGATCCTCGGAAAAAAAGATAATATTTTGGATTTTCGTGTGTGTTCAACGGTCTTGAAGGGTTCTCGTATAAGTTCTTGCTTTATGGGTGTAGGGTTGAGCCTCAGGCAATCCACGAATGAGTAGCATGGATGTAGGGGTAAAGGGCTTTTAGGATGGAGCTGACGGAGCCTAACCGTTAAATACCAGCGTCTCGCCACTCCCTCTGCACAAACCCGCCGCCCAAAATCATATCAAGTAGCCCAAACGCGCCCTAGCACAAAACTGCATATTGGAGCTCTGCGATCTGGGACGGTCAGTATTTTGATTTGATGACGGAGCATCGAATCTTCCAAGACCCCCATCAGTAACATCAGGGAAGGAAACCGCTTCTTAGGCTGCCGCCGGCTCGAGTATGGACGTCGGCCCGCAGAACTCTGCACATCTCAGCGCCAGTTTGACATTGTTCCGGAAGAGTCGGCTAGTCGAAGGATCTCAGTAAGTAACTACCCTGTTAACGGTATACGTGATAAGGAAATACTCTAAGTCGGGGTATCGCAAACGCGTCTCCTGCATTCCCGAGCCGAGTGTAGCCCTAATACCATGAAACACTGGCGCAAAACCACCAGAATGTAGGGGCCTTAATGATGAGAATAGGGTTTTGGGGTATATTTCCCTATAGCAGTAATAAGGACCCCCCCCGGGGGGGGTCCTTNNNNTATATATATATATATTAATATATATAGGTAATTATTCAGGTTCCTATATTACAGTGAGGTTCCGTCTTCAGACCATGCTGGGCTTGACCCTGAAATCTTCACCGTCCAATCCAAACCTTAACCCTACAACAAATCCTGAATTCCAACACCTAACTGGGCTGG